CTTAAACCTAAAAATGTCAAAAAATTACCTATAAAATTTACATTTCTGTAACCAGCAGCTCATATCTGAGATTTATATATTTAAGAGAATCGCATAGGATACAAGGAAAAAAAGATGACATGTCATCAAAATCCAGGCCCTGATCATGACTCTCTCCCTTCCTCCCACACCTTCATATTTTTAAGCTTCATGCTATGACTCTGTCAGTATGGAGTCTACACAGAGTCGGTGATAGGATGATTAATAAATACTGTCCCGTGAATATGTGCAACTAAAGATGGGGTTTAGATGAGAGATGGGATTTATTGACCATTTTAATGCTTGATTCATTAGACACGCACGCACATGCACATGCACACACACACCGCCACGCGCACCACAGTATTCTCAGTTTGTTACAGTCTCCAATAGACGTTTCCTGGTAACGGCTTCCAATGGTCAAGAATTTTCAGCTACTGTGGTCACATAATTTCCTGCTGGCTAATACTTCACAACGCAACTTGTTGCTTCAACTGACTAACTACCAGGCTGACAGCCATCTCACATCATCCTCCCGGTCTTCGCTTCATAGACTGCCTAACTGCAGCTTGGCTGGTGTCCTCGTTATATAACCCCTTGTCACGTACCGCATAGAAAACACCATTTCCAAATGTTCCTCTAATGTTGCATGTGGATTGATTGCTGTGGGAATATATCTGTTTCACAGTTGTTGCCTAGTAATGACTCTACAAACCACAATATGCAGCAGTTGGTAGAATGAGAATTGGTACTGAAAACAGAAGAACTTGGAGAAAACCTGCCCCAGTGCCACTTTGTCTGCCACAAATCTGAATCCCATATGACCTGATCTGGAATCGAACCCAGACTACATCGGTGGGAGGCCAGCAACCAACTGTCTCAGCTATGGCATGGTCCCTCTCCTTCATTATCTGTCTTCCATTCCTCTATCCCTTTCATATCTATCCTCATACCTCCATCTCCTGTATTCCTTTTCCACCTCTTTTATTTGTACAGCCCACTGTACACTCTGCTGCAGTGACTAAATTTCTCATCCAAAGTAATTTGCTTTTATTCTGGATCCTGGTTTTTGGAGGTGGCTCACAGATATAAAGGAAAGGCATGTAGGAATTTTATTTTACCCCTCATGGCTCTGTTCACATTATTCTGCCCTCGACAGTAATTTAATAACACCACTGTAAAAAACTTGGCTGCGTGGTCTAAGGCATGAACTGTCTTCACTCGCCTGAACACTGGGATTGTGGGTTCGAATTCCACTCAAGGCATGTCTGTCTGTGTTTATTCTGTGTCTGTCTTGTCCTGTGTAGGTAGCAGTCTTGCGACGGGCTAATCCCCCATCCAAGGACTCCTACCAACTGTCTTGGGATTGAGAAAGTGAACTGAGATAAAGCATTTCATGCATGTCCTACGCTCCAAGTGGGAGCAACAGGATAAAGAAAGAGAAACAGACAGACAGACACACTGAAAAAAAAAACCTGCAAATAAAACAAAAAAAGACACATTCTAACAACATTCAGGATATTTGTAGACTAGAGTTCCTCACCTCCTGATACGTGAGCATCTTCTGTTCAGTTGCGTAGTTCCGAGCTTCCTCTTTCACCCTTCCAAGGTTCTGACCTGACCTCAGTCGTCTCGGTGGAGCCAAAATCTCACCCTCCCCCGACATGAGGGCATTAAGGACATCAAACCACACTTCTAAAGACAAATTCTGTGACTCACTACCTCGCAGAACCAAGTTGAGAACTTCACCATAATGCTCAGGGAAGTCATGAAGCAATAATTGCCGGATATGTTTGCGGAACACCTGCGCAAAAAGAAATCTAACCTTCAGATGTGAGATTCTTAGAGCAACGAAGATTCAGACTGTGGCCTTAAGGGTTATGACATTAGCCTGAGAAGTTTGCTACCAAAGTCTCAAAGGAACCTGCTGCCTTCATTCTCAGGGTGGAGGACATGAAGATTGTGGCAACAGGCTCCCCCAAAATGTTGGTAGCCATCTGGCAGACTACACAGTATCACAATAAAGAAACCCAGTATCTAGTTATAACACTACATTTAAATGAGGCAGTTCAGAAAATGAAACTGACTTACAAGGGACTTCAGAATACAAGTAATATAGAAACACATCAATATTATGACATGAAAACGGTTTTTACACAGTATCCATTATATCAGACCTCCAGATTTTATTACCATACAATGTATTGCACTAGTCATCATGGAGAAGGAGGAAACCTCCATGTACTGTGTCTACTGTTGAAGACTGTGGTTTGGAAAATGGAGATCGGGAGAAGAGATAACTGTGAGAGCTGAGGATGGCAATCACTGAATGGATAATGGCATGAAGGAGAAGAAGAAAAAGTTGATGCAGAGAGACAAGGAGACAAAGATGGAGCATGATTGAAGAAAACGTTGAGGCAATTAAACTCAAAATTTTGATGCATACATCCGCTGTGAAAATCGACATATGCCAGAACAGCAAGTAAAGTGCCTGGGGTTTGATTTGCACTTGAAATATACTGTCATGTGTTGGTGACCTGACGTGGGGTTTAGATTGATATGTGGATTTACTGGAAACTTATAACTCACAACTACAAATAATTAAGAGCTGGGATAGCACAGTCGGTATAGTGACTGGGTACCAAGGGCTCTTTCCCTGGAGGTAAAACAGTCAGGGTGTTAAGCTGATCACTCACCTCCAACTCGTGCTGAGGTCAAGAAAACGTGGGTCTATACATCCACTCCCCATACGCCTTCATGGCATAGTGATTAATTAGTTAAGTACAGGGACAACTTTACCTTTTTTATTTATAAATAATTAATTATAGCATTATCACTAATCTATACATTTAACACATCACTGAACCACACATTAGGTTTCCATCTATTATGCCTTCCCTAGCTGTTGCTTGGTTACAGTCTACACTAGTCATTGCTAGGTTATGGCTGCTAACAACAGATACTCCTCTGCTTTGGTGCTCATGTCCTCACTGGATGGCAGTTGGCTCGCAACTAACTCATGAAGACAACTGACTAAGTTGCATGGATGGCTCTTGCTATATAGCCTCAGCAGAGACCACAGAGGAAACATCACTTATAACATACCTCCGTCACTGCATCATGTGCTCGATGTCACAGAAACTTGTTCATCAAGCAGTTGCTCAGCTATGGCTCACTTGTTTATCTTGTAAACTTGTACACTTGTAAACTGTAAGTATTTTCTCATCCCTACCTCATGTAGTATAAGGATCTCATCCTCAGGATTGAGGCCTGCCGCAGTAAGTGCTTTCCCCACAAGTTCTATGAACTGTGACCTCTCACTGAGCCTAGGTCTTCGAGACACAAGCCACCGAGTGATGTCAAACTAGGGAAGAGAAAATTACGTTACAATGACACTTATGACAGACCATTTGCAATGTCTCATCTCAGGTTGAAAGCATGTTCCACAAGCTGGATCTACCTCCAGCATCAGGTAAAAGTATGAAACCTACTCCACTAAGTAACATCTTCACCAGAAACATTTGCTGCTATGCATGATAAATATACTACATACTCATAATAATAATAAGAAATATATGGTCAAAACTTGTAGCTAAAAAGCTCTGATAAGTAACAAAAATGTATCCAATCACTTTTAAATAATATAAAGGTTGTGCCATGGCTCAGGCAGTTAGTTGGCTTCCCAATGTGGCGGCCCGGGTTCTAGCCAGGGTCAGGTCATGCTGGATTTGTGGATGACAAAGTGGCACTGGGGCAGGTTTTCTCCGAGTACTTTGGTTTCCCCTGCCAATCTTCATCCCACCATCATCTATCATCTGGGGCTGGTAACATACTCCAGTAGTGGCCACAGTACCAAGTGGACTCAGTTTCACCCCACTAAGAACCATAAAAAAATAATATAATGACCACTGTTGTCTCACTTTATAATGGCTTTGCTATCTAGGTGAGCAACTAGCAGTGATCACTGGAATGGGTATCACATCTTTTACAATTTGTCCTGACATGGTAGTGCAAACATCATTGTGCAAGATCATGAGTTCCAGAGATAGCAATGGGATCAGTTATGCAGTTAATATTCCAGGCAAGTACAGCAGTATAACCTTACAGATAATACATGAAAGGGGCACACAGCTTTAGCCTCATCTATATTTGCATACAATTTAGACTATAACAATACACGATCTAATCCTTAATCCCCTTTTCTTTGTTACTGCCTGCAATGGATCAATAAGAGAATGTTCTGTTTCTGGTACTTTTGTAATTTATGAATTTGGTCTCACAGACCCTAACTTGCTAAAGAAAACTTGAATTTTGGAAACAATATGTCGAGTCACAATGATTACAGGATAAGGAGATGAAGGCTGTTGCCAGTTTGCCCATTTTGACACTCTGCTGTTATCAGACTAGACTTCTGTTATGCCAAATTATGTCCAACCTATTACATCCTGCCCAGATCCCCTATATTTTTAATTCTGTACAAACAAACATTACATTATAAATGTCTAATTGGTGACATCTGCTTCAATGACTTCACTAACTGCCTATAACCAGCGGACTAAAAGAATTTGTTTAACATTGCGGAAAATGCTTGAAATTCTCATTGTCATTGTCGTCATCATTGTTGGCAAAAGAGCCCTTTTTGAGCCATAAGTTTCCTGAGACAATTCTGCCACACTTGTCTATTCCTTCATGAATTAAATCATTTGATATCCACTTCCTTGAATTTTGAAACGTAATTTCTTTACAGAGCAAGGTTGTCAGCCTGGAGGACCAGCTTTCTGTATTTATATCCTCTAGTGACAGGGTGGCCGAGTTCTACCCTCAGCCACCAGGTTCCCCTTACATAGCCTTCTACAACTAGCAGAGGTATGCTAAATGCATTGTAATGTGCCTTCACATGGGACACAAAAGGTTTAAGGCAAGTGAAAATGGTGTGAGTGACTCTGGGGAATGGCAAAATAAAATTCATTGACCAATATAATAATATTTTCACCAATGTATGGTTGCAACTTATAAACTCTATTCAAATATCACAAGATACTTCAATACAGAGTTCCACTGATGATTTCTCACAATAACAATACTTTACATTACACATTCCATCAAAACTTGTTCCATATAGAAAAGGGTCTTAAAAGTAACTAATCATTACTTAAATGAATTGAGGAATAAATTCTGGGACTGAGGCCATTACATATATTTAAAAGCATGTAGCAACATGTTTAAACTTGTCCATGTAAGCTGACTCTTCCATTGTGTTTCCTGGACATCAGTCACTTTTCTCTTGTCCTTCATGCTCAGCTGTCGTTAAAATTTTGTACTGTGCAAGATCACTGTGACAGTTCATAGTGATGGAACAAAGACTGAACATTAAGTTTTGTTTCAAGACAGGCATAATGGCTACTGAAACTTTCTGCATGATAAAGGCTTTAGGTGACAATGCTCTCTCCTGTACACGTTTCTGAATGATTTAAAGACGGGCGTGAGGATTTTCAGAATGATCCAAGACGGTAGCAACCTTCGACTTCTCAAAATGCAGACACAATTGCAAATGTCTGCAAAATGGTGACAGAAGATCACTGACCGACTCTCAGAAGGTTCTTGGATGAATTAACATCAACAAAGAGACAATTTGTCAAATCTTCTATGAAGATTTATTGAAGAAAAGATGCACAAAGTTCGTCTCATACAGACTCATGCATGAGAATAAGGAATGGAGACTCACATCATGCCAAGACTTCATCCAGACAATCCCAATTTTCTTTATTGCATTTTTTCTTTCCTAAGGTGAAAACTGCCCCCAAAGAAAGAGATTTCAGGATGTTGAAGACTCTAAGAAAGAGATCATAGCCAAACTGAAAACTGTTCCGTTGGAGGCCTTTGCTGACTGTTTTCAAAAAATTTTAAACAATTCAACAAACGTATTCTCAAGTAGGTGAGATTACTTTGAACAGAAATGAAACAATTTTTGATTTCCTTGTATTCTTTATTTCTTTTTCATACCAGTCCTGTAACTTTATTGCCAGACCTTGTATTCTGGATTGAATATTCTGTCAGTCTTTGTTCCACACACAAATATACCTTTAAACTGATTACGCATTACTCACAATAATAATGGTCAGCTAATTCATGTATCCTTATTCCTTGAAATCATGTGTCTTCTTAGTGGCATGAACTCACCCCTCATGCCACTCTACTATGTTTTCCCACCGTTGTGTGTTATGTAGGGCTATGCAGTAGTGTAACTGGTCAAGGCACTGTGCTACAAGCACAATTCCCGATGACGTCATTGGATTTTTAAATTGACCCAATTCTTCCATCTGCACTATGGCCCTGGGATCAACTCAGCCTCTAACAGAAATGAGCATAAGGAATCTTTCTGGGAGGTAAAGGGTGGTCAGTGCATATGGCTTAAAACCTCACCGCCATCTGTGAACCGATTGTCTAGAAAATGTGTGAGCCTTGATGTCTCACAACCCTTTGGGCCTCCATGGCCTGTTACAGGGATAGCTTTACCTTTCTTATGTGCTAAGTACGAACCTTTGACAAGAGAACAAAACTGAGTTCAGCAGGCTGTTGATACACCGTCTCTACTACAGTCTTGTACATCTGCAGGAATGTTGGAGTGCTTGCAACAGCAGGGGTGAAGTGAGGGCCCAAAACCCCACCCAGATGCGGCTGCTGAATTACTGTCCCCAGTAACCTCATGCACTGACCCTCGTCTCCACATACAAACACCTACAGTGACAGAAACACCTGCATATAGTTTCATAATGGCTTCAGAGTGTCAGATGACTGGATGAGAGTGAACAACGAACTGGAAAGGATGTGGAAGAAGAGACTGAGGCCTAAAGTGCTAACCCTGTACATACCTTGAGGGACTAAGGAAACCGTATGGACTTCATAAAAGTGGCTTTCCAGCGACTGTTGAGTAGTGGCGTGATTACTTTGATTTAGTTAGATCCAGCAATGCATTAGGTCATGTACAATCTGTATCAGAGATATGAAGGACATGGTACTGTGTTTGGTCTGAGGCATGAAGCTGACCACTCACCTCCAACTAGCGCTCAGGTCAAGAAAACATGGATCCACTTCCCCACCTGCCATTATGGTGTAGCACTTAATTAGTTAAGCACAGGGACCACTCTACCTTTTACTGTGATTGATTCTCTGACACTGACAAATGCAATGCCATCTGTGAGCCAACTGTCTAGAGAACATGGGAGCCTCAATGTCTCACGGCCTGTTACAGGGGCTAGCTTAGATGCTCTGACAACAGGTAAGTCTGGAACTGGAAGGTCAGATGAGAACATAGAGTTAATTTTCCATGCAGTAATCTGAAGTCCTAGGAAATGTATCACCAAGCTGGCTTTGGAGAAAGGAATCTCTAGGCAGACAGTTCAACGGATGCGGCATGAAGCCAAATTTAAGTATTACCATCCAAGATTAACTCATGGGTTGCTGGAAGATGATCCTGAAAAAAGATGTCACTTTTGTTTGCTCACATTAAATGAACTGAAGAAACATGTTGCAACAAGGAATGAATGTATAAGTTTAATGACATTTTAAAGTATTTAACAAGCACTTCTAGTGTATTAAATATACTTTTAGTGTCTTAATGACATTTGATATTTTAATGCATTTAACAAGCACTTTTAATGTATTTTTTTGCATGGATCCTGTTGTGCTTATTATATACAACTATTTACTGAAATCTGTCATAACACAACAATATAACGGTCAAGGTCAACATCACCTTAGCTACATATTTCAGCTTTTAAAGCCATCATCAGGCAAAATACATGGTTACCATATTCACGCACTATTGAACTGCATTTCATTGTGACAGTAGAGCTGGATATGTGACAACTGTGTTACACTATAATAATACAAGGTATAAAAAATACAATGAATTATAAAATTATTATAAAATGAAAGTTATGTGATAAAATATGGTTAAAAACTCTTCATGTGATATCTCATATTATGAAGTCTGAGTTGCAATCTGTATTCCCAACAGAGCAGACAAAATACATTGTAAAATGAGACACCGGCCAAACAATTAATATCAAATAATACTACACCTATACCACGGGCCTCCAAGCAGTTTACTTTATGTATACAAGTCCTGAATATACCATTATGTACGTGGGAATATAACAACAAGATTGCAACGACTGACTTCATAATATGAAATATCACATGAAGAGTTTTTAACCATATTTCATTATGTAACTTTCATTTTATAATTCATTGTATTTTTTATACCTTGTATTATTACAGTGTAACATAGTAGTCAAGTATCGAGCTCTACCGTCACAATGAAATGCAGTTCAATAGTGTGTGAATATGGTAACCATGTATTTTGCCTGATGATGGCTTTAAAACCTGAAACATGTAGCTAATTTGATGTTGACCTTGACCGTTATGTTGTTGTGTTAAGACGGATTCCAATAAAGAATTGTACACTTTTAATGTATTAAATATATATTTTTTGTCTTTTATTTCAGGTTATTGTTGCATTATAGATGGTAGACATTCATTCATCAGTAATCTGTCAAGACGACAGGTCTACAGTCTCTTTCAAAACAGTTCCTCCACTTGATGCGAAACAGAGCTTTCTCCTTCATATGAAAATATCCTCTTCTGTCCCCAAGCTCATCCAGCATCTTCTTACATATACTTATGATATAAAAATTAACTGAAGAATGACCACAAGGTAGTTATTTCAAACATTTCAAGCAAACAATCTGAACATTAAAATGATAGACATGTAAACATAAATAATAACAAAATAAAATAATATAATAATACAATATGATGGCTTCATATCTAGCCCCATGGGTAGTTCCTTTTCTGCCACGCTGTATAACCAATAATATTATATTAATTAATGACAAGAATTAAACACTGAAAAAACCCAACTAAGAATCAAAGCAATTATGATGCCACAAGCAGCATGGTTTTGGTGGGGATTCATTAAGACATCATTCACCAAATGTTACTGTTGTGCTGAAACCATTACCAGCAGAAAGCTAACATGAATATCAATTGTTGTCACATTGAACTGAGATACAAGTTTCTGAAATTGGAAAATCTTTTCACAATAATTGCATGTCACTTACTAAACTGAAGTTCATTACTACATGAAGGAAAATAATACACTGTTTACACTGGACTTGGGTTAAAAGAAGAAAGAATTCACTAAATATGGGCTTTCATAAATGTGGGAAAAGTAAAGCATGAGTTCACTGTGCTTACCTGACCAAGAGTTTCAATGCATGTTGTAAGTAGTTGCTTTGACGGTGGATAAAATGCTGATTCATCATTGTAAAGTGTGATGATATGATAAAACAATGTAACACCTACATCATGAAGTTTCGTGGCAGTATCAGCATTCTGTGTTGATTTATGCCTCTCAAATTCACTTTCCAGAAGCCTGAAACATATATAAATATGTTGAACCTGAGGGAGCATGTGGTAGAGTAGTTGGTTGAGGCACTATGCTACAAGCCGGAAGGTTGAGGGTTCAAGTCCTTCTTGTCACACCATGGCCCTGGGGTAGACTCAGCCTCTAATAGAAACGAGTACCAGAAATCTTCCTGGGGGGTAAGGGGCAGCTGTTATGTAAGGCTGACAACCTTATGGGCCTTCACAGCCTGTTACAGGGATTAAACAAAAATATTTGGCCTAAGGTTCTCAGCAGTGTGACGATGAACGGTATGATTTTCTGGGTTGTAATTTCATGTAGTTCAGAAAGAGCCCAACATTTCAAAGAAACATATCTCCCTCTCTCTTCAGTGTCGAAGACAATGTCAAGCAAGAAACCAACAGATGGAGGAGGCAAATACTCTCTGTTTGAAAAATGTAATGATTTTGGAAAATTATGAAAAAAGTTGAAATATTTCCGTCCAGTGTGACTGGTTAAGATTTTTT